CCTCCTGTCCCTACCGCACCCCCAGCACCAGGACACAGCACACTCTATTTCCTGAGTGGACCATACGCTCCATAGATGGTATCACCCAGGGGACGACATCGATTTAGAGAGTCCCATGAGTGTCAGGACAGGTTCATTACTTGCTGTCACTCCTTATGTCTACCTACTACCATGCCTAGAACACACAAGGCACTGAACAGACACTTGGAGAATGGGTAGAGTACTGCAGTCTTCATAGATGAGAAAACTGAGGCTCCAATGGGCCCTCTAGTGTCCAGGCAGGTGACTCATGGGGGCGGGGGCGGTGTCTGGCTTTGTTTGCCTTTCTCAGTCTCCTGTTCCTATCCCTCCCTCGAAGGTGTGTCTGGGCCACAGGCTCCTGGAGGGCAACTTCCCTCACCCTCCACCCCGCCGCGCGCCCCCCCCCCCCACTGGCTGAGCTGAGCACGATGCGCAGGGGTGGCTGGGGAAGACACAACTCAGACAGTGACAGGGACAATATTAGGAGTGAAAAAGATCAATTAAGCCCATCGAGCTGATTTGTGAAGCTGATTAAATTAGGAGCCTCCCTGGGGGCCGGTTTCCCTCTCAGGTTGACAGGCCAGCTGCTGGCTGCCTGGCTTGGGGGGGTGGTGTGCCCACCAGCCCCCCAGAGAGCAGTGGGGCCACTTTGCCATGCTTGATGCGTGGAGAGAGGATGACAAGAAGGCACATTTAGATGGCCCAGGGGCCTCCGGGAGCATCTCCCTTTGAGCTGCACATGGGATCCCTTGGAGGACCTGGAGGATTGAGGACAGAGTTTGTTCTGGTGTAGAACAGACACTGGCCTTCTGGTAGTCTCTGTAGGGCCCCGCGCCCTAGTTTGGAGGTTCAGGTGAGTGGTGGAGAGGGAAGGGGGACCCAGGACTTTTGGCCTCTTCTGCCTTCTGTCCCCACTTTGGGCTTCAGCATCCTGGTTGGTTTATTTCTCCATTTTTCCAGGCTCGAGGCTCTGGTTCCTTTCCTTCTCCCACCACTGACTGGATATAATCAGATTATCTCTCTAGTAACCTGACCCCTTTGCCTGGCCTCAGGACTCCCTTTCAGGGACTGTCCCCAGGGCAGCTTGGCAAGAATATCCTTGTATTTCAGAATGCAACCCCCCCCCCAACACACACACTCCTGGCCCCTGGATGGGGGCTGGGAAGTGGATTTGGACAAAGCTCCTGTGTGTGCAGGCACAATAGATGGGGGAGGTTCCAGCAATAAGGTCACAGGATTCTTGAGAGCATGAGGGCAGGGAAGGGAGTATTTTGAAATGCAGGCTGAAGAAACTGACCACAGTCAAGCCATACCTTTAGTGACCCGGCAGAAGATGTGACACTCTCTAACACCAGGTTAACCATGGAGTGCTCTATCTCTGGATGGAAATGGGATGCAATGGTAGCTCCCAAGAGCCCCCAATGCCCAGGAGGAACACTCTAGGCTTAGAATGATGGAGGGCTTCCTGGCAGAGGTGTGGCTCAGAGACAAAGATCAAAGTATGGGAGAGGAAAAGAGTATTTCAAGGAGCCTGGGGGTCCCATTAGCCTGAGATGAGGCTAGGGAGAAAGCCTATGGCCCTCTCCAGAGCCTGGTTTCTTCTCCTCAGCCATCCCTTTTTCTCAGCACAGGTCTATGCTAGAGCATAAACAACTGAAAAATAGCCACACCAGCCAAAAGATACTCAGGTGTGTCCAGAACGGGTAGAAGCACCCGTTGGCACCCAGGTCTGTGGGAATTTGGGAGTCTCGGTTCTCATTTGGAGTCTCACAGCCCAAACCTTAAGATCACTGACAGCTGATGATGTATGCAGGAAGAGTCAGACCTATGGAGACTCGCAGGCCTCAAGGGACAGGACGGGCTGAGGGTAAGAGCCCAGGCTGGAAGTCAGACAGTGTTCATTCTCCTGGCAATGGGATTCACTTGGCCAACTTAATCTGCCTCTTTGTGGCTTACTTTATTTCTCTATAAAATGGGCACAATGGGAGTACCTGTCTCCTGGGGCTATTGTGAAGATTAAATAAATACACACATATAAATAGCCTGTAGTGGTGCCGGCCACTCAGACATTGTGGCTTGCAATAGAGTCCGGATACAGGAGCTCAGGAGCCTGGATGAAGGCGGTCAGGTCTTGAGAGAGGCCACAGAAATGCCAAGATTCTGAATGCCACCCGCTGCCTCTCCCATGTTGGTGAGTCTGCTCACGAGTTGGCAGGATCCGCCGTGTTCTGCAGAGAGTGCCTCACACTGAGGGTCATTTGTGTCCAGCTCTGCATGGAAGAGATCCTCAGCCTCCTTCCTTGAGCACACTCACAAGCTGAACTCAGGTTCTGGCTGGAAATCTGCTCAGAGACTCTGAGTGATGAACGCCAGGGTCCCACCCTGAAGCCAGGCTCCCAAGTCCTTCCTGGTCCAGAGTCTCTCCGTGGCGGCTCTGAAGTAGGTGTTGTCTTTGGCAGGCAGCTGTGGGCCTCACAGCAGCGTGTTTTGGTACTCTCCTTTGCCATCGCTAATGAGAATCAGGGCTGTTCTCTATCCCACGCCTGGGTCTGATTTTTAATCTGTGTCTAGAAGCTGGGGATGATCTTCCTGCCACCCGGGTGAAATATTAGCCATTATTTCTCTGTTCCTTCCCATTGGAAGACAGTTCCTGACACGGGGCTCCCAGAGCTCCGGAAGCTGGAAGCTTTGAGAGTGAGCTTTTGATCTTTGAGAACCTTGCTGCGAGACACATCTCTGCCATCCCTGCTCTGAGTAAGTGGAGGGCTACCCTGGGTGGCAAATGGCTTCATCTTCTCTTTCTACACCTGGCCTGCAGCCCAGCTGGGCTTTTCCCACACAGGGAAGTGAGGCCAAGAGCCTCCGCTGTGGTCTAAGGGCTCTGTCCTGCAGTGTGGGTCGCAGGCCTGAGGATCTTTTTTTCCATGCCACAAGCCCATTAGTGAATGAAAAGCCTTCAGAATCCACAGCGTCCTTGATGGTTCCTTTCCCCTTAGCCCCCTTCACAGCCTAAGCGAAGCCTGTCACCCATCTGGATTGTTCCATGAACATCATAACTGGCCTCACCACTTCTACCCTCCTCTGTGGACAGAGATGATGCCTTCAGCATTTCACTTGAACATCATCATGTCCCCGTTCCTGGTCTGTGGGTTCAAATCCAGGGTCATCCGATTCCGCATCAAACAAACTTGGGAAAACATCAGATCTACTCTGTATGTGGATTGTCTTTTGTTGTCTCTGTCCCCAGATTAATACAATGTGGTAGCTCTCCCCATAGAGCTAAGCACTGAGTCACCTGACTTTGCATATCAGGGCGGGTGTGCTCAGGCTACATGGAAATATTGCACCACTTCACACAGCTGCTTGGACTCTGCAGAGCATTGAATCTAGAGAGCAACAAAGGAAAACAATACCACTCGGCAGTTCCTGTGGTACTGAGAATCCAATCTGGGGATTCCCACATGTTATGCAAATGCTCTACTATTGAGCTATATTCTTAGGTACTTTTAAGGTAGTTTGATTTTTGGTCAGGGTGGCCTCAAACTTACTATGTAAGAGAGGATGAATTTGTAGCTTCTAATCCTCCTGCCTCTACTTCCTGAGTGCTGGGATTATCTGAATGCCACCACACCAAGTTTTATTTGGTACTGGAGAGTAAACCTCCTGTATGCATCCATAGGGCTTCCTGTATGCTGGGCAAGCTTTCAACCGAGTTACATCCCCAGCCTGATATGTTCCTTTTCAGATTTAAAATACAGAGCTGCTGAGGTGGCTCGGCAGTTATAGGCACCTGTCATCAAGGTAGATAACCTGTATTTGATCCCTTGAACCCATGTGATACAGGGAGATAACGGATTCGGGGAGTCCTCTGACCTCCATACACATGTCATGGAGTGTGAACCCCTCAACTTTTCTTCTCACAACCCTTACCTCTCACAAGAGTGACTGCTCCTCAGAGCTCTTCCCCTAATCACCCTTGCCTCTCCCTCAACCCCAGCTCGATGAGGTAATTTGGACACTCGGGCCACTTCAGACTTCTCCACAGCACCGCGCACACTTGTAATCACGGGCTCATCTGTTGGCGACGCTTTGCTCTCTAACCTGCAGTCCAGTGAGGACAGCCTTTGCTTTTCCTCCTTAAGTGCTTAGCACACCCGGGATGCTCAGTACACTCCTGGATGATGGCTGTAGGGACCAAAAGGGAATGGAGGCACACAAGGAAGGGACCTTTCTTAAAGCCACTCCTGTGTGCATATTCTCCACAACAACCTCATGAATAGGAGTAACACATCTGCAAGTCACTTCTGAGACACGAGGACTCATAAAGGAAAAGGAGCCTGTCCAAGGTCACACAACTGGGTATCAGCGCTTGAAGCATCCTGGTGGGAGCTCACACCAGGTAGAGGTCCTTCAACAACTGTCCCCAGCTTCACCCCCCCCACCTGTCATCTGTTCTCCTTGTTGCAATAGGTGGCTGGAAGGTTGTTGGGGCTGCAGTTTCTCTTTCTCTGGTGTTTCCTTGGGGTTCATAGCTGGACTCTTGTACTGGCTAGTTTTTATGTCAACGTCATTCAAGCTGGGGTCATCTGGGAAGAAGGAATCTTAATTGAGAAAACACCTCTACACTAAAGATCCCACAGAGTCTGTAGGATCAGCCTGTAGACAAGACTGTAGGGCATTTCCACGACTGATAACTGATATGGGAGGGTCCAACTCAGTGTGGGAGGTACCACCACCAGGCAGGTGGTTCTGGATGGGATAAGAAAGTAGGCTGAGCAAACCATGGTGAGCAAGCCAGTAAGTAGCATTCACCCAAAGCCTCTGCTTCAGTTCCTGCCTCCAGGTTCCCGCCTTGAGTTCCTGCCCCAACTTCCCTCAGTGGTAGGGTGTGACCTAGGAGTTGTGAAAGGAAATCAAACCTTTCCTCCTTAACTTGCTTTTTATCATGGTGTTTTACCATAGTAATAGAAACCCTAGCTAAGGCGACTCCTCTCAGGGTGCTGGAGTGGACTGGATGGTGTAACCAGCGTTCTTTATAGGGGTTTTAGTCTGTTCTGTGTTGGCATAAAACAAACACGTAGACTGTGGACTTTATAAAGAACAGGAGGTTACTTGATGGGCATTCCAAGGGTATGGGGCTGGCTTCTGATCTGCATCTGGTCAGAGCTTCCTCATTTACTCACGTATTCTACCATGGTAGAGGGTATCACACAGCCAGGCTGAGACTGTTGCTAGGTAGAGTATCTCTTCTCCTTCCTGTGATAACACGAATGCCATCATGGGGGTCCCATCCTTGTAACCTGGTCTAGTTCTTATTATCTCCCAAAGACACCACCTCCCAACACCATCAACACACAGGATTTAGCTCTAGCAGATGCATTTTGGGGAACATGTTTAAACTATACCAATGTAGCAATACTGTGAGGCTCTGGACTGGCAGTGGGAAGACCCAGGACTCTTCTCCCTTCACCATGGTGTCTTTATTTATTCACAATAAGCTACTCTCAGAGACCAGTTGAGCTGTGTGAGAGGGCACAGGAGAAAGGAATAAAAATGCCCCACACTCTACCTGCATATTTTCCAGCTCTGAGTCTGATGTCTGCCTTCTCAGAAGCACTTGAGAGGCAGACAAGCCTTAATTGCCACTTAAAATAGCTGTTGCTTCTGATGGTAGATAGGTGGTTCATTCAACGGACATCTCTCCATAGGACAGACTACTATATGAGCATCAAAAACAGTGAGAGGTTAGAAAGGGTTGTTCAACCTGTGTCATGTGAGAAGACAAAAAAAATTAAAAATATAGCGTATTTGTGGAAAGTATAGTTCTACATGCATAATGTATAATGCACATGCCACAAAGCTTTGAAAACAAACACAAAATAGTATCTTTGTTTTCAGTGATGAGAGACAAAGAGCAATTCAAAAATTCCTATTCTTTGTGTTATTGTATACACTCTGAATTACTTTTGAAAAAAGTTCTTTTAATGAAACGAAAAGCTAAAGAGAAGGAGTTGGTTCTCCTGTAGATCTGGGTAGTGCCAGCATTCTCTGAGAGACTCCCTTCTTCTCCTAAGTGGTCCCTGGCTTGGGTGGCAGAGGGTGACAGGCAGGCCATCATTGGAAGGGAGCACAGAGGCCACTCTGAGAAGGAACCCCCATCAGAGTACTTTGGCTCTGGATCCTTGACCCTAGACCTCGAGGAGGGCTGAGGTCATCAGAAAACAGGCCCTAGTCGAGCCTCCCGGTGGGGTTTGCCATGCATCCTAACACTCGCTTCTCCTTGTTGCTTGTGCCTTTGGATCTCTGTGCTTGTTCCGTGAGCTTCTTCAGCCTGCTGGTGATACTCGCAGCCTGGAGTCCTTGACCTTTTCAGAGGGTCTCATTCACCACTCCCTACTCAAGGGAGAATAATCGAGGGGGCAGAAGAAGCATGCCATGACATTGGGACGTGTGACCACAGTCGGGTTCTGCACGGACACAGCTGGCACAGACCTTCTATACATGGTCACCATGGACAAGGACCGGCCCAAGCCCCCCTTGATTTCCTGGCTCCTGACATGATGCAGGTCTGGATATATGGTCTACAATTACACTCCCAGCCCAACTCTGCCCGCTTGTGCATGGTCACACAGTGTGTCAAAAGCCTTGGGCCCAGGTGGTGGTACCTGGACCTGTTTTTTCTAGACATACAAATTTGAATTATTATTATTTTTGAATTGATCATACAGGTCTTTGGCCTTATCTCAGAACCCAAATTCAGGTACCAGGAGGAGTTCTAGGGTTCAGGACACATGTCATTTTATAGACCCCATTGCCCAGAAAACAGACTTTAAAATCAAAACCTAATAGAACATCATGCAAGGTGTGCTGGCACATACCTGCAGTCCAGATACTTGAGAGGCTGTGGAAGGAAGATAGCAAATTTAGGGCTAGCCTGGACAACTTAGGGACATCCTTCTTGACCAAAAGAAAACATAACAACAAAACAAGACCTAGTAGCAGAACACTTGCCTAGCACGTACAGACCTTAGGCTTAACCCCTAGTACCGCCAAAAATATTTATATTATATATAAATATAAATATTCTATATGTATATAGTCATATATTAACTTATTTTTTAATATTGTTTTTGAGTTAAGGTCTCATGCTACAAGATCTTATGCAGCCCAAGCTGGCCTTAACATTAGCAGTTCTCTTGTTTCTGTCTTATGGATGCTGTCTGCCTATCTATCTATCTATCTATCTATCTATCTATCTATCTATCTATCTATCTATCTATCTATCTATCTATCTACCTACCTACCTACCTATCTACCATCTACCCATCTATGTGTGAAAATGCTCAGATCCTATGAAACACGTGAGGAGAGAGGCAGGGAGCTTATGTAGCAGAGGTGGCTGGAGACAGGTAAGCAGACAGCAAATCTTTTGACCATCTCAAGCCATGGGGCTCAGTTTTCAAGTGGAGGTGTCTTAGCCCTGAGCAGCGAAGGCCCCCAGGTTCACAGTTGTTACCAGGAAAGCAAAACATGAAGGAAGACATGGGACTTCCCTGGCCCAAGTAGAACTTTGCTGGGTATGTTGGGAGCTTGTGGGGGTGGTGGTGACGTCACTTGTCTCTTTCTGACTCATCTGTATTTTTCTACCAAGCGAGCATGACCTTTGTAATAAAGGGTACTGTACTTCCTGTAAGGATGTTTAAGTCAACAAGACTCCAACTGGCCCTATCCTGGCTGGCATAGAAACATTTGAGCTTCTCTGTCCCCGTTACTTGGGGTTCTTGTTCCCAAGACAAGGACATGGCTCCAAAGTCACTCCTCCTTTCCACTTTGACTGTTTCCCTGACCCAAGGAGACTAGTGGCTCCATGATGAGACAAGGTTATTCTGGTTCCTCCTCCAGGCAGTGATCCCTGACTACATCACCACCATCCCCTCATCTGTCCTGGGTATACTGCTGAGACTCCCTACCTCTTCTAAGGGGTCTGCTCCCCATAATGGAGAATTCACCTCGCAACAGCTGCAATGATGAGATCCCCTTTGGTTTGTCATATATCAGGAATGGTGTTACATGCCTTCCCCAGGCAAGGACAATCAGCCACCCTGAGCATTCCAGGAGAAAGCTGCTAACTGATATATTGTTTCTAATGGAAGAAGCAGAGGCTCAGAGAGATGTTTTATTTCACTGAGGGTCACACAGCCAGGTAAAGGAGGAGCTGGGATTTTTGCCTCCTGCCTATCTGGGATAGGTAGGTTGCTTTCCTGTGGCTGTAGCTCAGCCTTCTCTTGCTTGTCCAGTGTGTGTACTTGACTTGTGTATAGCACTGGACAAGTGCAATAAGGGATAAGTGGTAGAAACCCGTGCGTCTCCAGCAGATCTTCAAGGCCATTCCAACGCTGTTCCCATGTATCACTGACAAGGTCAAGGCTATGAGCTTCCCAGGGACAAACTGGGAGGTTCTGACTGTCCCTGACCCCAGCATGCTGCCTAGCTGAGTTTCTTCCCTGAATGCTGCAAGTATGGGCAGGTGGGCTATGGGTAGGCACGGGGCGGGGGAGAGGGGGGGGCGGAGGTGTTGGCAATCCTGTCTGGTCCTTGGTTTTGTATGGTCCCTGAGCTAAGAATAATGTTTGCATTTTGAAAGGCTTATAAAAAACAAAAATCCAATATCAGATGCATGCTTGGCTGACAGAGCTTAACCCGTTTACTTCCTGCTCTTCTAGACTCAGAGAGTGGTTGGGAGGGAGGATCCTGGGACTGCATCCTCATGGTCTCAGCATGGACTGCATTCACATCCTAGTGGTCTCAGCATCAGCCCTCCAGGATTTGGGGATGCTATATACTTGTCTGGGCATATTAAAAAGGACCACAAAAGGTCTCTCACTATGCTAGCCACCACTATAGGGCTGTAAGACTCCCTTTTAGTTTTCTTTTTTTTTTCTTTTTCTTTTCTTTTTTTAGGAAGAAGGATCTGTGCCCAAGAATTAAAAAAAAAAAAATTAGCCATTCCCTGGTTAGATTTCTTCGGTAAGGGAAACAATTTTTTTTTTTTCCTGCATGGGACTAAGTGCACCACGGTGGAGATGAACTTCATCTTACAGCGCTGAAGATCAGAACTCTGAGTACCAGGCACTCTCCACAGGGTAGAAAAATGGGGGTCCCTGCTGTGCCACACACAGCCCATTCTGTAGTCAAGACTGTTGTGTACATCGAGACACAGGGTTCTGAAATTGGAGGAGGGGAAGGGAGGCAGGCAGGAAACGCAGGAGGTGACGCCAGCATCACATCCTGGAAAAATGACACAGTTCTGCAGATACCGGGAGGGGACGGTGCTGAGGCCAGGCAGGGCAATGGCCCCAGCAAGGAGCCCCAGGGTCGGGCATCCTCGGAGTGTGATCCTAGGGCAGTAGGTGTCAGCAGAGGCGAGGCTTTGGGGTTGGCTGGGCCCGCCCCTCCACCGCGCGGCCATTGTCTGAGCCAGCCGCCGCCTTGGCAGCAGAAGGTGACATCTGGTGACTAATGGCCGCGGCTGCGCGCCGCCCTCCTCCCTCCCGCAGCGCCCAGGGTGCAGCTGCCACACCGCCAGCTCTTCTCTGTTCCCTCCCATTTCCTCCCCACTGCTCCACTTGCGGGGTTGGGGACAGAGGGGACAACCCAGACCTGGAAGCAGAACGGATACCCGGGTTTTTCCAGTTCGCTAGGCCAGCCCTGCGGGTGCTCTGCGGGTGCTCTGCGCCTCCTGCCTCCTTAGCGCGCAGGCGCCTCCTCTTCTTTGCTGCTGCTGCCACCACCACGCTCCCTTGTGGACAATGCCACCCCTCAGGGGCATCTCAGGAAGCAGCCTTGCCCTCTGCTACACGGCCTTTGGAGGGCGCAGACCCAGCGGGCATGGGAGCCCACATACATGGGCATCAACACACAGGAGCAGTAATGTCATACTTTAGACACCTGTGGGCCTTTCTTTCAATTTTCATACTAATACACATGAGGAGATGGTACTGGCTGACCAACTTGGGGACAATCTATCTTTGTGTGTGTCTGCATAGGCACACACATCATTTGGAGAATCCCATAGCCCTGGAATGTTTCCTTGCTGAAAATAGGAGCACTTGGGCATATACCTACATACTTAGCACGGCATGTGCATGTCCCTGCCAAAGTTCAAGGACAACAATAACATAATTCAGATCCTGAATTAATTAATTAATTAATTAATCTAAGCTAAACTACCCCCGCCCCACGTTCACACTACTGCTAAATCGGTTGCATTTAAAAACTGCATTTTAAGGGCCTGGGAGGATGGCTCCGTGGATGAAGTGTTAGCTATGCAAGCCTGAAAGCCTGTTTTCTGATCTTCCCATGAACTGATAATTCTTGGAAAGGTGGAAGAGAATCGTGGGGTTTGCTAGTGAGCCAGTCCAGAGAAACAGGGAGTTTCCGGTTCAGTGGAAAAAGATGGAGAACGACACCTGACACACTCACCACAGGAAAGAAGGGGAGGAGCCGAGTGGGAGGGGATGGGAAGATGGAGGGGGAGGAGGAGCAGGGGGAGGAG